CTCTTCAACTCCACAGGACAATCACTTTCCAGAATTTAACTGTGTGCTCATTATAGCCAAAAAGTGCTCGCAGTATTGTAGTGAGCACAGCAACCCTGCTCAAGAAAACTCGGGAATGTTTTGAATGCTGATAATGGGGAGGGGAGAAGGGAGGAGGAGATGAAGTGAGACAATCTCAGGGAAAACCCCACCTTCTCATGCCCAATGTAGCAGTACCCATCCACTCCACTGCCACACGAAACCCTGAACTCCCTTTCTCTCTCCTCTGCATCCCCCGCTGGCTCGTTCTCTAGGAAACAACTCCTGTAAAATCAAACTGTAAGCTTCCAGTCCATGGCTTTTAATAAGCAAGGCATCACTAATTTATTCTAGATTTTGCTTTTATCTGAACGTTCAAAGCTTAAACAAGTTTGTGTGGCTATTGCTCTTTACATGGGGCTGTCAGATCAGCGTCACCTTCATGTGGGGCCAGTTGGTCACTGTCTAGTCTATCCTCCAATGCAGTCATTCCCTTCTCATGTAGTATTTGATCCTCGATTTGTTTTAAGTGCCTTCATCAGGCACAGGCTGTATGAAAAATAGGCCTGGAGGCGACCTCAGCTATCATCTGCCTGTCCCACAGCCGGTTCCCATCGCCAGGTCCATTTATCCAGTTCATTTACATTAGCGCTGCGCTGCTTTGGGACTGCAGGAAGCTCTGTGAAGGTTGCTACCTCTAAAACTTATTTTGATTTTTAAGCCAAACCACGGAATGAATCTGGACCAAAGCCACCAATTTGGGTTGAAACCAAAATGCACCCTGAAGGTGGCCTAATGTAATTGAGGTAGAAACCACCATCCACCACTCGACTTTCCAATGATATATAAGTAAAGGGAACTCCATTCAGGTTTGGGGCAAGTACGTGGTTTGCACATGTTGACACCTGCGACGTGGAAGGCTCAACCTCGGGTTGTGCAGAGCTCAGCTGAGCCTGGCACTGCCCCCACAAGGGTTCGTGTGTGCCAATGTAATCACAAGGCTGGAACCAGAGCTCTTAATGACCTTCCTCTTCATGGTCCACCGGCATTAGCATCCAACGATGGAGCTTTTTAGCAGTAGGATTGCCCATGTCTGTGTATATAAGCACGTGTATCTTTTATGCTGTTTGCCTGTGATGTGCTGAGGATCTCTACTTCAGCTATTACTAGTGAGCTTAAACCACTATTTAGAAGCTTCCTGTTGTATTAGTTTCTGAATATTGCAACAAAAGATGTGCTTACATAAACACAGCAAACCAATATCCTTATTTTAACCAGTACAAGGCTCAGATGGCTCAGGTAATGGGCAATGACTTCTTTCCACAAGGTTATAGTACAATGCCTTGTATTTTAAACAGTGTTAGGAGTCTAAAGTGTTGTCCATTAGTACCTCTTTATTGCCTCTTAGGCAGCAGGAAGACCCCTAAACAGGAGAGAGGAGAATTGTGTCCTGCTGTGTCTACATTGAAGTGACAAACATCCACCTACTTGTCTGCCCATCAAACCACTGTGGATGCTTTGCTTTTCCTTTGCCCTTCCCTTGTGTTTTAATCCATAGCTGCCTGTTTGGTGTTTTAGATTGTATGCTTTTTGGGACAGAAGCTGTTTGCATATGGCAACCTGTAGTCCTGTAAATTGGCAGGTACTGCCAGACTGTAAGAAATAATAAATAATAACTTTCCCCTAGACAGTCAGCTTGCAAGGCTTGAAATTCCTGGAGATCTACCTTCTAGGAATCATCCAAAATGAAGGCTCAAAAACAGTCTTTGCACTACCTAAAGGGAGGTTGTAGAGAGGTGGGTGCTGGTCTCTTCTCCCAGGTGATGGGGGATAGAACAAGGGGAAACGGCACCAAGCTGTGCCAAGGGAGGTTCAGGTTAGAGATAAGGAGGAAGTTCTTTACTGAGAGGGTCGTCAGAAGCTGGAACAGGCTGCTCAGGGAGGTGGTGGAGTCACCATCCCTGGATGTATTTAAAAAGTGGGTAGATGAGGTACTTAAGGATACGGTTTAGTGGGTAGACAGGAGCAGTTGGACGTGATGATCTCAGAGGTCTTTTCCAACCGAGCGATTCTGTGATTCTGTGAAATACCCTGCAACTTGGAGGCCCTTCGTGCGCCAAAGTTACCATCTTCCTCTGAGCCAGGAGGGAATGTGCTGGCCAGGGCTGTGCAAATCTGTGCAGACTCCTTGTACCTCTTCCATGTGTGCACCTTTGAGGAAATGCGGTGTAGAAGTGGGCAGGCAGTGCCCTGCCTCGTTCCACCTTCCTTAGGATGCAGGGAAGGGGGATCTGCCCTTCCTGGCCTGGTCAGGCTGAGCTCAGGGTGCTCCCTAACCAAAAACTCTTCTCCTTCCAGAACCACACAA